AAAGGACCCCTGTGAATGTGGAAAAACCGCAAATAAAAACAACAACACTGTTCTTTTTTACCTAAGAGAACACTCTCTAGCAATCTCCAGATGATCAACATCTGCCAGAAATTGATCACAGAATCATGTTGGAAGACCTACAAATGCCGAACTTCTAGGTTCTCCAGCACAACTCTATGGTCAATCTTCCGGAGAATTGCACTGGAGGACTTGGAGGTTTCTAGAGAAAACATATTAATCAAAACCACAAATAATCAAATCTGCAACAGTCAAAACCGCAAATTAGGAGGGCCAACTACATTTGCTAGTCCCAACTAGTCCACCAATCTAATCATTGGGATTTACTTAAGTGTAGACATAATTGAGCAATTAATTTAGTTGGTCTACTAAGCATGGATATAGGTGATCTTAAAAACTAAATACACTGGTCTGAAACCCAATGGGGTAGGTCTCTTCTTCCCATCACACCCCTTCTCTCTTCAGCATTTTTGCACCTTGTTGCTAGAGTGATGTTCACCTAGGAAGAAGCCCTCACCTGCTATATGAGCTTCTACCCCATAATCGTGACTCCTCATACGTCTGAGTGTACAGTAGGAACTCTATCTCACAGTTTTGAGCATCTGCGGAAGGCAAGCCCCATTGCCCCAAATGGCGGCATGCATATCGCACTGCCATTATAGACAACGGGACTTGAGATCCCCCATGGATATGAAGGTCTCACTGTATTTGGGAGAAAGCCATGCTACTGTCACTTCCGTGCTGCTGAAGATACTATAGGAAAAGATCCTAATTTTGTTGACAGTTCCGTTCAAGAAAGAAGTGGCAAGATAATAAATCACCATAGGTGCCTATTATCTTCAGGACTTGTTAATTACCTGAGGTGCAATGTTATCAGAGTGTTTTGTTCTTTTATCAGATGCCCTCTGGTTGTTAGGCTGCATACTTTTCTACTGGCAATCCATGGAGAATTGATTTCTGTTATTGTCGCCTGTATCTTCAAGTGTCATAACTGTGGTTTCAGCCTTAAAAAAAAATGGCTAAATAAAATATTTTTGGAACAATGCTTTTGATAGCATTCTTGGTGTAAATTATTTCTTGCTTCTGTTTATCATTGTCCTTTACTTTTGGGATCTGTTATCTTCAACAGAATAGATTTTGATCTTTTAACATGTAAGCTATCTGAACAGGGGCAGCTGTTACTGGGCTGGTGTTGCAATTAAAAAGAGGTGACAATTCTGTATTTGGCCCAGTTATTGAACATTCCTTGAACACTGAATACAGCACATCAGCCAGAAATATAATAGCTTGGTTTCGTTTTCATTAGGAAGCTCATTAAAAATGTAGACACATATACCCTTACATTTACTTAGCACAGTCCAACAAAAAGTTGCATAGTATGATTCTTTTGTTTTTATACCCTGGATCAGATGTAGGTGTTACCTGTACCTCCCCTGTTTTCATAACTTCTGATCATCATGCTGCAACTTCCTGGCATTACTTCACTAGGTCATGACATCTCTGAAGCTTACAACAAGGTTAAATGAGAAACAACTGAAAACCTGCTGATAGAAAGGTTGTGTTTTTTTAAATTACGTTAGCTATTATGTAAAAACACACATAGCATAAAACTGTGTAAAATGATTTTAAAAGATTTAATCATAAAGATAAAAATGCAAGCACGTACCCCATTCAATAACTATTTTGTCCAATCACTTTATCATCAAATGTCTCTTTATGTAAAAGGGGTGCCAGTTGACCACAAAAGGGGAGATGATGGGGCAGAGAGGTTAACATGGCGTCAAAGCCTTGGAGCAAATCCCAAGACGGTCCCTTCTCAAGATGAGCTTCTGACAATGGTGGGACCATGATAAAACCCTCCCTGGAAGAACTTAAGACTTGGGCAGGCTCATGTAGGGAGATATGGTCTTTCAAATAGTTTGAGACGAAGCCTTATAGCAGGGGTAGGCAACCTTTCCCCTTTAAGGGCCGAGGGACTTCAGCTCCCAGAATCCCAGGAGCTATTGGCCAACATGGGACTATTGGCCAACATGGCTGAGGCTTCTGGGAGCTGAAGTCCCTCAGCCCTTAAAGGGGAAAAGGTTGCCTACCCCTGCCTTATAGGGCTTTATAGATCATAACCAGCAGTTTGGATTGTGCTTGGAATTGAACCAGTAGCCAGTGAAGCTGTTTCATGATGGGAATTGTGTGTTCCCTGTATCAGTCATTGCCTCTTTTAAGGGCCTTGGAGTTTCCAATCAGATATCAAGAACAGGCCATTGTGGAAATCGTTACCACCACTATTTTCTTAGGTTTGAGGAAGGTAAAGGAAATTGTATGAATGAATTTAAAGGTTGCATTTATGCAGGAAACCTTAAAAAAGGAGCTACGGTAAATCAAAATCCTAAGACAAGAAAAGCTATGTCTTACTCTCTGAGTATGTTATACAAATTAAAGAAAATGTACAGAATCTTGTTCATGTGTTGTGTTGTGTGCCTTCAAGCTGTTTCTGACTTATGGCGACCCTAAGGTGAACCTATAATGGGTTTTCTTGGCAAGATTTGTTTGGGGGGGGAGTTGTTATTGCCTTCCCCCAAGGTTGTGACTTGTCCAAGGCTGCCCAGTGGGTTTCATGGATGAACGGAGAATCAAATCTTCGTCTCCAGAGTCATAGTTCAACACTCAAGCCATTACATCACACTGCCCTCCTACCCTCCAGCTGGGTTGCATGTAGTCAATGATCATCAGAATGTGTTCGAGATGGCACAAAAGTTATTCATGAGGAAGAACACACAAGCTAGGGATGGCTGCAGCAGTTTGCTTTGCCTAAGCATACTGGGAAGGGCAAGATTTTTCCCTCTCCTGTCCTCTCCTCCTATTGAGTTAATTGAATGCAAACTAATTTTGCACTTCTGAACTAATTTGCAGCAATTGAAGTAAGACCAGGATAAAGGGGGAAACTGGGAGAAGGAGAGAGAAGCTGCTGAAAAAGCAGGATGACAAGGGATTAATCGGCACTGTCCCTGCCAAAGCAAGACAGTTGGAATGTATGTCCTTTCATTTTGTACGACTTATTCTTCAACCTTTGTCCTTTGTGCCTTGCCTTCTGCACAATTCAGTGAATGGGCAAAGTAAGGAGTCTTGTAGGATCCTTGCAACCTTATGGCTGACTCCTTGGAGATCTTATTTAATCTCTTCAGGAGTCTAGCAACCATTGGGACTGCCAGACACATTGCCCCAGGCCACCAGTCATTGGTAGGACAGCAACATCTGATTATTGATATAATTGTTGGGCAATACCTGAGCCTCGACATTTTCAGTTCAGCTTCTGACATTGAGAGCCTAGAATCTGCTGTTCCCAAGCATTTTTCTATCCCATATTTTTCAGATTATGGAAGACCGCAAGCCCAGAGCAGAGAGAAATCAGAATGTTCTGTTCCTGAAGTGCTGGTAAAGCCAAGGAATAAATTTTGTAAATTGGCCACAGCAGGCAAATGCCCTGTGCCACAAAACATGAGCAAACATTTCTCCGAATTTCTAAACAGTCGAACCTGAGGCTAATGTTCCTTCTACTCTATTTACAAATGTAGCAAGGAGTTAAGATTCAGAGGATGAACACAAGCAGGAGAAGGTTACTGTATAGCCTGTAGCTGTGTATATTAGCCACAGGAACAGAACTGCATGCATATTGTCCGCATTAGCACGCAAAGCTGGGGAATTTGCATTTTCCATCACATCTAACATTTGTTGGACATTAGTCCTGAATGTAAGAACCAATTAAATCAATGGGCCATTCTGTTTCCGTTTGTAGCCAGCCAGATGTTTCTAGATGAGTGACATCTCTGAGCCAACAGCTTTGTCCTAGCATAGAGACACTGAACATAGTTAGGATCAGATCTAGGATTTTAGAGATCAAAAATAGCTGGGGCTCAGAAGGTAAACATCCTGCTTTATGAGGTGCAAAGACAGAGTCAGTAAGGCAAGGGTCAATGCTGGATCAATAGTGACAGCAAGACTAATAGCTATCTGTAATCCAAATAGAAAGGGAAGCCAGGAGAAGAGCCTGAGAGCTAGGAAAGTTCAGAACTAGAATGAGATCTCTAGCACTCTGTGCCTCAAACTGACAGCTTTTAAGCCTCTGTCTTTAGAGCGACAACCAGAGTAGAGATGCAAAACACCAGCATCACTTGAGGAATGGTGAGCTCTGAAGGACGTCCTCATTAAAAGATCCCTTTGCTTGTGAGGAATATTGATTCCTCAGGCAGATGTTTCTGGGTCTACCATCCAACTGAAGCTACAGCAGGAGAGGGACACATGGCCTTCCAGATGTTGAATGACAACTCGCAGCATTCCCTACCATTGACTGCACTGACTTGGGCTGCTGGGAGTTGCAGTCC